ATCAGGGGCCTTGCTGCTGGACGTAGTTTATCGTCTTACCCAGGACGTTTAAAGGTTTTGCCACGGAGAAAGATGTTTTAGGCAACTGAATAAATGAATATTTAGACATTGCTGAACGAAATCATTCAACTCTACTGGGCGTGGGGATATGGCATTATGGCGCATTTTTATGACCAAAATTGGGGCATTTTTTATTTTTATTTATTTATTTATTTATTTATTTATTTATTGCGTAAATTAAGATCTATTGTGATTGCCTTGCCTTGATCTAAAATCTCGTAACGGACGAAAATTTCAATGACGGCTCATGAAGACCTTACGAAAATGTTTAAATATTGAAAGACCTTTTGTCCCCTCTAAGACGAGATTATTTGCCAAAGGAAAAAATGATTCAGTCATTGCGAATAATAATGATCACATTATTGGCAAATACATTTTTGTTATAGTTGAATGAGCAACCTTTTAAAAGAGCAACCTTACGAACGATCGAATGGAAGAATTTGATTAGATTAACCGCAAACGTGTGAGGCGTGGAAACCAAGCCAAAATTTTATCTTTTTTTACCTTTTTTTTACACTCGTATACCAGACACAATTATATCAAACCGACTGGATAAATATAATGTAAAAGAGATGACACAATAATGTTTTTTTTTTTATTATTTCAACTGAAATTTTTTGCTTATCTATCAGAATGGTTACATCAGAATAATTGCATTTTAGAACGTTCGGGATAAATTGAAAATTCGGACTATTTTATTTATTTCATTTTTTTTTGTCTCTTTCTGAATGTTTCCAAATTTTAGATTCATCTACTGTCGTTAAGGTTTCTTGGTTTCTTTTTGTTAAATTGACGAGTTTAACTTACCACCTTGCAACTGAGGCAATTCTGCCATTTTGCTTTTCTGCAAAAAATTTTAGTATGTTCCATAGTCACACAACTGAGCACGCACACATACACACACACAAATACACACACACACACACACACACACACACACACACACACACACACACATACACAAATACACACACCATTGAACATACATACATACACACACACACTTATATATTGGGTCAAGCAATTTATAACAATATTGTAGGGCTTTCACGTTCAACCCGGTAGTCCCTATTAAAATAGGCCTATTTTTCAAGTGAAATAAATCAAGTATCTTTAATGTTTCCTATAGATTAGTTTCTCTACATCAAGTCTTAAGAAATCCGCAGCACCTTCCTCAGTATCCTTACAAACCCTAAAAGCGTCGTGTTCTTTACAGTCTCAACCTTTCCACAAAATCTTCTAATCTCTATTCTAGGCTTACTGACAATGTTTCAAGTGTGCCTACATTTATGGGCATGATCCTAAACTTGATATTTCATACCTTTCTCAGTTTCCTTGTAAGATGCCGTGATTTTTTTTATTTTCTCCATTTCCTCACTCTAATTCACATTCATAATCTGATTCGTCGACAGGTAATGATTTAGCAGGTTTTTGTTACCCATCTATTAAATTCAACTAACAAGGGCTTTCTGATAAATTATTGTATTTTTATAATTTTTGAATAAGATATATCCAAATCAAAAATTTTGAATAAATTATAAACTTAGTAAAATATATATATATATATATATATATATATATATATATATATATATATATATAGTACAAAGGCAACAGTCTGCTTCATGTTAAAAAGCAATCGTCACTGTCGCCGCTGAATGTTGACCTTAATGTCTATTTTTATATTTACATACGCTCTATATCTAATAGTGAGCACTTTAACCCATAAATAGAGCAAATCTTAAAATTATATTTTTATTATATGTATATATATGTGTGTGTGTGTGTGTGTGTGTGTGTGTGTGTGTGTGTGGAAGAATTAGCGCAAAAAGCGAAGAAAGAAACAATCTTCAAACACGACTCTATAAATTTAAATAAATTTTATTATTGAGTATTTGTTTTCTTTCAAGTTGAAGGAAACGAATTACAAAGATATTCGCGAAATAAAGTCCCACGAAAATATTTTTTTTTCCTTCACAACATATAGAATAAAGTGTGTTAGTGTGATAGAGGGAGCAGTGTGTCAACATAAGGAGAGTGTCACGTATTTACGTTGTTTTATGAATGCGTGTAATTTTCTAGCAGTAGCAGTCAGCAGCCGAGAAAGTTGTATTATAACTACTACTAACGTTTTGCTTACTTTGTTTCAAGTGTGTTTAATTTACTTTGAAATCGCTCTGCTTTGTAAGCAATTACTCGAATAAAATATGTGAAAACGTTGAGTAATTAATTATACGAAAGGTTTGAGGATTCAGCTTGTCCGCCACAATGAACAACCGATCCTGGTCAAATGTTTACGAAAAAACTGACAACTGAATACTAACTTAACGGCACGAACAATTTCCGTGTAATTAAAGCTTTTCTAACATTTCACAAAGTTATTCTCATCGTACCTTATCGATTATTTTTGTGCAATATATAAAATACAAGTAAATATCAT